TACCTTTAAATGTTTAAATATATAGTTCCTTCATATCAGATGGTGAAAACATCTCTTATTTTGAGAGCCTTAAATTTGGGAGCTTTAATTGATTCCTCTCTGTAAATCTTATACCATAATTATTCTTTTTTGTCTCTGACATCTATTATTGTTATGATTAATACCTCAATTACAAACCAAAAAGTTAATATAGTCTAAATCATCTGCTTTTAAGTAAGCCTAAGCCCCTAAAAGAAGGCACTCAAAATTTCACTCCTTTATAATGACACATTGTCAAACATTAAATCAAAATAGGGATTCCAATATATTTGGGAACAAAATCTATTTTCTAATTGGCGGTTGGTTGGATTTAATTATCAAAATTAATCAGCTACCAAAGTATATCGTAGATAGAAAATCTCATAAACTAATTAGATTATTGATTAACTCTAAAATTCAGAGCAGAATTCAAACATTACTCCCTAAATTTCTGAAATATTATTATGTTTTAAAGCGCTAAATTCTTCTTGCCAACTATTCTAAACAAAGTAGTTGGAAAATAATTGGATTAATTATCTGATATTCATTTTTTTGTGTTACCCCCAAATTTGTTGATGTAGACCTACAAAATTAGAAGGAAAAATCAAATTTTTTTACTAGTATAAAATCTATTTCAGTACTTTCACTATAGTTTATGGCCAAATAAAACTAAAAGAATGCTTCCTTCTCTATTCCCCTATGCTTTTTTCTGACTTAATATTAGAAAAGGAAAATAATAAATTTCTTCTTTATGAATTTCAACCTTAACAGCAACTTTTTTGAGTTTCAAAAAGTATAAAATCCCTTGAATACATTAGAATTAAGATATTCATTATGATATAATTCATTACTTAGCTCGAAAAAAACACCAAAATGGATTAATTACTTCAATGTGAGTAGGATTATACTTGTTCTTGATAATTTGTCAGAAGAGATGGTGGCTTTTATGTAGATGCTTCTCATATTTATGGCATGGAATAATTAAGGTTAAGTAGTGTTCATATCAGGGACAGAAAATGAAATATTAAGTTATGAGGAATAAGCTCAACAGAAAGAAAAAGATATTTTTTTGAGGGGAAAATTTAAAGTAATTGGAGATATTTTAAGACCTAAAAAGATTTACTATTTGCATTATGTCAAAAAAAGCAGATAGAATTTACTCTCAAAAAATAGTTCATACTCTTTCTCATCTTTAACCTATCATCTTGGGATTTCTTTAATGTGTTTATGATGTAAATATATTTTCTAATTTTTTATTAATTTTGAATTATGAAAAAAAATACTGATAGTTTGTTGGTAAACAAGAGAATTAGAAAATTACTTAACGAAAAGAACTTAATCGAATTGATGTAGGATTGATGTGATAAATGATATTATCCAAAAAAAAGAAAATTAATTTTTATTTGTTGTTGTTGTTGAATTTAATTTTATTTCATTTTGTTGACGAATCTTCTTAGGCCATTAATGATTAAGTCAAAAGTGCAACTAACCCTTATAAATTTTGATTATTATTTACCTATAAACTATATCCAAAATATTCCCATACATCTACTTTGGTTAATTTAGATTTTTAACAAGATTAATTCTAATAACTCTAAGTCTTTTGAGAAACAACTAATTTGACTTTTTAAATAAACGATAAGAAAATATATAGGAAATTTTATATATGTGAATTTATATAACATAGTTAATTAATTAGATACAGATTATTTTCAAAAATGGAAAAAAAGTAAGATTAAGAAATTTTCGCTTTTGTTATTGTATTTAGTTGTTTTTAAGTTCCGTTTATATTATATATCGCTTCTTCATATTACTATAAATAATTAAGTTAGGTGATTGTTGCATTTCCATACATAATTTTAATATTGGATTGTTACCTATTTGGGAAAGAGTTAATTTACATATCTTTTCATTCTATTGAATTTGGTGTAATTAGCTTTAACAGATGCTTAAGTAGAAAACAACAATAAAAAGAATTGTAATGATGGGAGATAACATTTCATTTTAATCTTATAAATTCAATCTCTCGTCCATTCGCGTACAGGATAGTATTCTTTGAAAATCTAACGACACCCAAATAGTCGAATTAAACTGGTTTTAGCTTTTGCTTACCTCTCAATACATCAAATATGAATAATTAGTCATAATCAATTATACCAAAATACTTGTACTGAGTTTAATCTATAATAAATTATTTGTCACGCATTTCTGAAAAAAACTACTTTTCTGACTATTTTGCCAGATCTCATTTGTCCCAATGTACCACTTAAAGAATACCAATTTTCATCCATATCTCCATCTTCTTGATAAATTTCAAAGAAAAATAGGCTCTCTAAGGAGTGTATCTCTTATCCTTTAAGTTTGGATTATCCTATTCTTTTTGATATTTTTGAATGATTCAGAATTACCCACCTTTTTTGTTATATCACTTCTATTGTCACTGCATAGTTCGGTAAGTTGGACACTATTTTGAAGTCTATAGTATTATCAAACGAAAAGCCTTGTTGGAATTCTCCAATATTTGTAAACGAAAAGTCTGCTTGGAATTCTTCATCTTTTATTGGATATCATTGTACACCCTCAGGCCCTAGCACATATATGAAACCATCACCATCAATATCTAAAAAATGGTTCATTCCTAAATAAATGTTTTTTTATGTATAGGTCAACTAATGTTATAATTTGTTGAAAGACCTCAATAAAATATTCAGAATAACGGTCCAAAAAATGTTTAATACTTTTTTCATATTAATACTCCACCCATGCCCATAATCCTAAAGCTATTCTTTTGTAGATTTTAGATCATAATTCTAAATAGAAAATAACCCCCTTCTTCGTTACCTTCACACCTCCTACAAATTACAGCTGCATACTATTCATTAGGAGATAGTAGCAAGCGGTAAACGTCATGATTAATTAAAATTTTTCCTCACTTATGAATCTGATACATTTAATTTTTTTTTTCTTAATATGATTAGTTGGTTTTATCTCAAAAACTAAAATTAAAGCCTCAATCTTCAAAATTAAATTTAAAGAAAGCCATAAGTAATTTTTTTCAATTTCAGAATAAACTTGGAAGATGAATACTTTCGGTAAAAATAAATGTAATTATTAATTTCCAAGATTCATAGCTCCTTCCAGAGATAACTTAGTGCCTCTATCAAAGTATCAAGATATTGTTACGAAAATTAATTTTTATCAACTTAGAAGGTATGTATCAACTAGAATTATGTATTCTATTGAAAGATATTAAATTTTTGTTTAATATAATATTCAAGCCGTATAAGTGATTCAAAGGAATAACCTATCTTGCAAGGCACTTAATCGCACATTGATTTTATATTTAATCCACATTTGATATTTATTTTTACTTCTAATTTACTTAAAAACCCTTTCCCATAAAATGAACTAATCTTGTTTTTGCTTCGGTTATTTAGATTTAAATTCCTTTTGCGATATATCCAAAAATTTCATCTATTTAAGTACTATTTATTTAGGAAAACGTCAAATAGTTATATTTATGGTTGGATAAATTCAGCAAATGGCAAAAGAATCCTCAAATAGTTCCATCTATGAAGTTAATTTCCATAATTTATTGCTTAATTATTAAATATTCTAGTATCTAGCCATTTTAAAGTCAACAACTATTTTTTCAAATCAAATAGAAATATTTTTTATTTTTACTTTATGAAATAAAAATAATAATAAAGTCTTGAAAAGAACCTCTGATTATTCGACATCAGATTATAATTTTTCTTTAGCAATAAAGAAATAAAACTTAAGAAAGGCAATACAACTCATCTATCGAGATCTCAATTTTTGTATTCCTAAATNACTTTTCTGACTATTTTGCCAGATCTCATTTGTCCCAATGTACCACTTAAAGAATACCAATTTTCATCCATATCTCCATCTTCTTGATAAATTTCAAAGAAAAATAGGCTCTCTAAGGAGTGTATCTCTTATCCTTTAAGTTTGGATTATCCTATTCTTTTTGATATTTTTGAATGATTCAGAATTACCCACCTTTTTTGTTATATCACTTCTATTGTCACTGCATAGTTCGGTAAGTTGGACACTATTTTGAAGTCTATAGTATTATCAAATGAAAAGCCTTGTTGGAATTCTCCAATATTTGTAAACGAAAAGCCTGCTTGGAATTCTTCATCGTTTATTGAATATCATTGTACACCCTCAAGCCCTAGCACATATATGAAACCATCACCATCAATATCTAAAAAATGGTTCATTCCTAAATAAATGTTTTTTTATGTATAGGTCAACTAATGTTATAATTTGTTGAAAGACCTCAATAAAATATTCAGAATAACGGTCCAAAAAATGTTTAATACTTTTTTCATATTAATACTCCACCCATGCCCATAATCCTAAAGCTATTCTTTTGTAGATTTTAGATCATAATTCTAAATAGAAAATAACCCCCTTCTTCGTTACCTTCACACCTCCTACAAATTACAGCTGCATACTATTCATTAGGAGATAGTAGCAAGCGGTAAACGTCATGATTAATTAAAATTTTTCCTCACTTATGAATCTGATACATTTAATTTTTTTTTTCTTAATATGATTAGTTGGTTTTATCTCAAAAACTAAAATTAAAGCCTCAATCTTCAAAATTAAATTTAAAGAAAGCCATAAGTAATTTTTTTCAATTTCAGAATAAACTTGGAAGATGAATACTTTCGGTAAAAATAAATGTAATTATTAATTTCCAAGATTCATAGCTCCTTCCAGAGATAACTTAGTGCCTCTATCAAAGTATCAAGATATTGTTACGAAAATTAATTTTTATCAACTTAGAAGGTATGTATCAACTAGAATTATGTATTCTATTGAAAGATATTAAATTTTTGTTTAATATAATATTCAAGCCGTATAAGTGATTCAAAGGAATAACCTATCTTGCAAGGCACTTAATCGCACATTGATTTTATATTTAATCCACATTTGATATTTATTTTTACTTCTAATTTACTTAAAAACCCTTTCCCATAAAATGAACTAATCTTGTTTTTGCTTCGGTTATTTAGATTTAAATTCCTTTTGCGATATATCCAAAAATTTCATCTATTTAAGTACTATTTATTTAGGAAAACGTCAAATAGTTATATTTATGGTTGGATAAATTCAGCAAATGGCAAAAGAATCCTCAAATAGTTCCATCTATGAAGTTAATTTCCATAATTTAATGCTTAATTATTAAATATTCTAGTATCTAGCCATTTTAAAGTCAACAACTATTTTTTCGAATCAAGTTGAAATATTTTTATTTTTACTTTATGAAATAAAAATAATAATAAAGTCTTGAAAAGAACCTCTGATTATTCGACATCAGATTATAATTTTTCTTTAGCAATAAAGAAATAAAACTTAAGAAAGGCAATACAACTCATCTATCGAGATCTCAATTTTTGTATTCCTAAATCAATATTTAATTTATTCACTATATTTTATGAAAAAAGTTCATCAATATTATTATTTTAAGTAATAGAATCTTTATGAATTGTATCCATCCAATGATAATAGTTAAAGGTATTTTATTAATAAAATTGAATTAACATCAGTATCATCTTCTCCAAAAAATTTTATTATGCTTTATAATGTTTTAATTTAGACTGATAAGAAGGTTATGCATCTAATATTAAAATAACTACAATATAACAAATATTTGTTTCCATTTTTTAAATTGTGAGGGTTCTTTATGTGATTCACATCCATTTGCAGTTGATTTATCTTCCGTTTCATTGAAGACATAGCATGCCTTGGTATTATTGAATTGTAACTCTATCTTATTTAATATGATTATAAAAAATCCAAGTTGTAGATTCAACATAAGTGGAGATGGATGATTGAAAATCTTAGTAAGTTTAATCCAATTAAAATGCAGTAATTAAAAAATTATAAGCTGGATTAAATTGGACTTCTGAATTTATTTAATACTTACACATTAGCTCTGTTAGACAGAACTGACTAAAATAATTTGTAAAACTTAGTTTAAGGATATCATTTTGAACTATCCTTATTTAAGAATATCAATATCTTTCTTTTGGAAATTGTGGCTTTATAGAATCTTCCTATTTAATAATGTTAGCGCTACTAGTTTGAATATAAAGATTGTCTTAAAAATTGGGCAAGGATAATTCTTATGTAGATTTTTGTGTGTGTTGCTTCAAATGAAAAACTCATAGTTATGCTCAATCACAAATGATCAGTTTCCCCACCGCGTGTCCTAAAATTTCAAATAGTAGAGGGCTAACAAATAGAGAATTGTATAATGCCTCCGCAACCTATATTAATTTTTATTAATTTTATGCTTCTTTATGAAAGTTACTGAAGATGAACCTAATTGTGCTTGACAAAACAATTGGAGGTCAGTTAACCAGTGTTCCATCTTGTAATTTATATACTTATTTGAAAAATGTTGCTCCTTTTTTCCTGAATTTAACTTGCTAGTTATCACCTGCAATATCGATTTATAAATGTTTTTTTTAGCTAAAAAAAAATGTTACTATCTCTAGTTCTATTCGATACATCTTATTATAGATTTTAAACATATCTAGCAAATCTGAAAGGCTGAGTACTCTTTTAAGTCTATCTGATCATAATCCTAGATCTGATCTCATTCTTAATCAGCTTTTACTTTTGCACAACTGAGTATTTGATTGCTTTAGCAAAGGCGGCACTGTTAGCCAATGATTTCTAACCCTTGTGTAGCATTTATTAGATTTAGCACCAACTCACCTTATGATGAGGAATCTCTTGATTTTTCTTTATACTTTAATTTATAATGCTCTGTATCCCTCTTCTTTAAATGCATACGACTCGTTCATTTTACAGTGCAATACTAATGCTTTTCCATCTATTCAATATTTTCATAATTTCTATATCACATAATAAGAGGTTGCACTACTTTATCAAAATATATATGCTGACACTCTTACTTTTATACAACTCCCATAAACTACTTCAAATAAATTCATTCTGCTATCTAATGTAAGTAGTGACTAATCGCCATGCGGTATATTCAACTCGACATGTTAATTCTTGATTCTGTTAAATATATTCTAATTAAAAAGTGAATTTCTAACATTTTTGTAAGCCGATTGATTCGTAATGAAACAATTTTTGTGCTTGTATTTCATCAGGCTCGCTTAATAAATCCTAAGAATTTATAGTAAAAATATCAATATGGAACTTATTTCCTTATCATATGTTTTGGTATAGAATAAATTAAGTGGTGAATAATTCTCTGCATCTTTTAGGATTATAAATATAAGTAGGATATAAGATTTGATAATAATTAATATAATTAGTTAACTTGCTTAGAACATTTAGAATAATAATATTTATGCTAATGGAATGCATTGGAAAAGAAAGCTAAAGTTAGTGAATTAAATAATTATAGTCTTAAATATTAGGAAAATAAAAAGTTAACAGGATAATAAGTAGAAATAGTGACTGATAACTTTTTGCCAATTACGTAATAAAAGGCTTTGTTAATAAAGAAATCCCAATCATGTACAGCCGAAAACAAATTCTAAAAATAGCAAGACATAAATGGGATTGTAAATCTTTTCAATA